CTCTTCACATTGAATGTTTTCTTACAAGTAAGAAAAGTGTAATTTTCGTAAATAATCTATTTTTCCTTTTTATTTGCTTATCGTAGCTATCTATCTTAATTTTCATTAAGTCCCCAAAGTTCTGGTACTATGCCATTGGTCCAGTCATCATCTTTGTAATTGACCGTATCATGGGAATGCGTCAGGAGTACAAGAAACTGAAGATACTGAATGCGGAACTATTGCCATCAGGTAGTTGTTGACATTAGCATATGATCGAATTCTTCTTCTCACTATAAAAACAGCTTTAATGTTTTTTTTTCGTAGATATCATCTATCTCCAATTCAAACGGCCTTCATCGTTCTCTTTCCGCTCCGGTCAATGGGTACGAATCTCCTCACCGGCCTTCTCATGCGCTTTCAATGAGTGCCACGCATTTTCCTTAGCCTCAGCACCTCAGGCGCCTACACTTGAGCTTTATATAAAGGTAATTAAAGTGGATGTGGTTTGAAAGGCTCACCCCAATAACTATAGGCTGTCGGTCCATGGACGTGGAAAATGAGATCAGAGATTATTCGCGCGCAAGCAAATGGATCACCTTATCCTTTGGTGCATATGAATGGTCCTTATGGTGATGGAAATCAAGTAGGTGTTTCTAAATGCATGAATGGAGATTTCAACTATTTCACCAGGTCAATCACTCTAAAGTAATTGGGACTAAATTTCTAAAAATAAACCTTTATTCTCTCCGGAGAAGAAAAAGCTTTGTTTCTTTAAGAAAGTTCAAGGTAAACATGCTAGGCTCAAAGAACCTTTAGATAATTTTTTTTTCATTCACATTAAGGACATGCTGTTGTCCAGTGTAATAGCTAGTTTGACCTTACGAACTGTCAGTTTACAGCGAAGCAAAATAATTAACCAAACTCTCATCAAAAGTAGTTGAGGAGATTGATTTACACAGTTTTCATTCCATTCTTAATTTTACATTATCTTCAACCCACCATACAACAGGGACGTATTCATGGTAATAGTAAGAAATTAACCATATAAAAGAATTTGAAATTATTCTCAAAAAGAAGCTTGAGAAACTGAGCGTAGAGTAAAAAAAAGCAAGTCATAAATCTTAGCAACCAAAGCTGCATCCAGTTCTTCTTTAAATTCACAAGCTTTGGCTCAATACTTTTTCTGCTAAGGTGGTCTATAATCACTTCCATTTTCTAATGAATTTCTTAGGTCAAAATTTGGAGAAGCAAATTTCCTAATG